AACCTGTACAGAGATTAATTACTGAATATAACAGATAAAATATAAAGTTTTTCTTAAGAAACGTTTGATAGATAGGCAAGATGTAAGAAGAAAAAAAGGCATGAGAGAAACATTGCTTTATAAACCTTAAGACTTAATAAAAAAATTGGATATTTTGCATATGAAAACATTGTAATGTTTACTGATAAACTGCCAAATTTTGTTAACATTTGCTTAATAATTTGAAAGTTATAGCATAAAAGCTATAACAAGCACAGAATGGTTATGAGGTCAGTCACAGGGACTGAGCCCGGGTTGAAAGAGTTAAACAGATGCTTACCATCATTTGTCTTGTGACACTTATATTGACAGTAATTTATTACTTTCTCTGAATGTGAGGAGTCTGAATTTTGGTTGGGAATGTACTTGTATGATGCTGGTTTTTGGACTTAGAACTAATTATATAAGTTTTCAGTGTATGTTTATTTCTGAAATATTTGTTTTTCATGTGATATATATGTAAATGTAGCTTCTGCTAGTAAAGTGACATCAAGTTGGAAAACTACTTATAGCTTAAAAGTAAAATGTCATCCTTATCATATCAAATTCTATTTAAAATTCAGAAGTTCCACTAATTGCCCATATTGCTAAAATTATGGTGCCCTCAACATTCTTTATGTGTATGAGAGGAGTCGTATGTGTAATATAAGGCCTGTTTTACTTTGAATTTCTTGTGTATATCTCACTGAAGATCATGATTTGATATGAAGGAACATAATAAATTTTGTTTAACCTTAGAAAGCTAAAATTACAGAGGCCTGTGATGGTTTTATTGTCTTGAAATTTTTACATGTTCTACAGTAATTCCTGTATGCTGAATCTGAAAATGATATCCATTTTTCTCCATCAGTTACAGATTTTTCACAAAACATCATAACACAATACATAAAAGAAAGACCACATAAAATAACTTTGATTTACCACACTAGAATTTTAGAATACTTGTATTCAAGTTGTACATTTTTGGCTTATAGTTGTTTTGCAGTGAATGCAGTCCTACTAAAAATAGTGCTACATCATACTGATGGACCTATCTTGTAAGACTAAATCAAAAATAATTACCTGCACTATCCAGGATATTGAAAGAATACAAACATGCTGAAAATATGCACATATATATATAGGTCCCATCTTACAAATGATAAGAAATGGAGCAAGCTTATCTTGCATTTAGTCACATTGTACTTCTCATGATTCAAATAGTATTGTATTCTGCATAGTGACAATGAAAATGAAAATGTTATTAGTTGATAACCTGTTGGTGAATAGTAGAAACACAATCATATCACTATATGATCCTATTAAAAATAAAATTAACTTTTATGACTTAAAATGAATAGATAGAAATGTGTGTGTCTTGTTTTACTGTTTAGCTTTTGTTTTGTGTTAGAAATACTATAGATCACTAGATGTGCTTATTGTGTCGAATATTTGAGCTAATTTGATGTTTCTGCCTAGGGTATCCTGATTTTATCTTATACACTATTCTTTACATATTATTTGTGTTTGTATAGAAAAGCTTTCAGTAAGATTTTATGATAACTCACATACAGACACTGCATGGAATGCCCGATTGAAGTTGAAGTACTGAGTTAAAATTACTGTTAATTTCTTCTTTTTTTTGGCATAGGATGGATTTCTGCTGGGAGAAGTTGTCAGTCGAATCACTGACACCATCAGTGACTCACAGATACAGGGAGAAAAAGAAGAGACATGCTTGAGTAAGCTTTCTGATACTTGTATCTTTCTTGTATCTAGACCTGTTGAGTTTTAGTAGTATTAACTCTTCCATCAAAATATATATACACCTGGAAAAAAGTTAAGCACCCCCGTGTTTTTTTCAAGGGATTCAGAGTCGACGTTCTTGTGA